TTCTAGTAACACAGGCAATTCTCTATGGACAAGTCTGTCTGTCTGTCTAAAATTAGTTTTAGACTGCCTTTAAGGACCAGTTTTACAGAAGCTGTAATCCTAAGAATGCTTACCTGGGGCAGCAGGGAACCAGACTTTGCCCTCTTCTAAATAATTAACAGCAAAAAAGGAGTGGGTGAAAAGAAGGAAGAAATTCTGGTCTTGAGACACACCTTTTGCATTGCGTGATCTTAAGATGTTCGTTTGCTATCCAATGGCCATTAAAATGGCCATTCTTTTTCTCACACACTCATGCCACCCAATATTTTATAACACCCTTTGGTTGTAAAAAGTGTCCCGAAGTGGTTTACAAGGCAAACTTAGATTGCCCTGCAAACTCTTCCTCCCTCTCCCACCCTTGGGACTGCATGTGACTTTTAGGAATTGGTAATGTGCACCTCTCAACCCTGACTGCTCTTTAGAAGGCCAGATACTGAAGATGAAACTCAGATACTTTGGCCATCTAATGAGAAGGAAGGACTCCCTGGAGAAGAGCCTAATGCTGGGAACAATAGATGGCAAAAGAAGAAGGGGGCGGCAGAGGATGAGGTGGCTAGATGGAGTCACTGAAGCAGTTGGTGTGAGCTTGAGTGGACTCCGGGGCTTGGTGGAAGACAGGAAGGCCTGGAGGAATATTGTCCATGGGGTTGAGATGGGTTGGGCATGACTTCGTGAATAACGTAAAATAACATAACATAACTTAATGTGCACCTCAGAGAGGGAAGTGTAAGAGGCCTAAATTCATCTCCAGCTCCTACCAGCATCCAAACTAGTGAATATTGTTCAGCTAACCTGTCTTCCATCCACCAGGGCCAGTTTTCTTTCATTCTAATCAATCCTTCCAGCCCAGTACCCCAAACCCATCCCCCTTCCCTTTAAGCTCTACTTATCAGCTGTACTGGCAGGGCAGCAGCATGCTCTGCCTTCCCTCAATGGGCTGTTGCATACCCTGTAGAGGAACATTAACCCAAGGGGTGTGCAATGTGGCAAATGCCAGTCTCTGGGGATTTTGCAGTGTTTCTCTTCCAAGATGTAGCAATGGACTATAGTGGGTTTCCCCCTTCTCCAATTCTGGAATTGGTGGAGTGAGAGAAAGAGAGAGTTCCATGATTTGTGCAAATGAAATCACCAGCACACTCCACAACTGCACACTTTGGTTGGAAACTGCCAGAATGGAAGATGAGATTGACACATTGCGGTGGTACCTTGGCTCACGGACTTAATCTGTTCCAGGACTCTGGTCAGGAGCCAAATTGGTCACGAGCCAAGTTAAATTTCCCCATAAGGTTCAAAGTAAATAAGGTTAATCCGTTCTGTAACCATTTTTTAAATCACAAAAATGTGAAGCAAAATGACAAAGAACAACAAAGATCACGACCATCTCCCCCCCCCCCGAGCACAAGTGTGGCCATCTCCCTGCCCCCCCCCCCAGCAAGACCGAGATCACACCTGTCATCCCTGCATGCACCCATCATCTCAGCGTGCTGGGGGGTAGGAGGGAGAGACGGGCATAATCATGGGCACACTGGGGGAAGGAGACGCGCGCAGAATCACAGGTACACTGGGGGAGGGAGAGATGGGCTCAAACGGCGCACTGGGGGACAGAGAGACGGGCGCAAATGGGGCGTGCTGGAAGAGGGAGACATGGGCGCGATCTCAGGCATCTCCCTCCCTCTGCCCCCAGCATGATTGTGGCCATCTTCCCACTTGGGAGATGATCATGCATGTCTTCCCTGCTCGAATGTAACCAAGATCATGGCCATCTCCCCACTCACGGGGGGGGGGGGGGGAGATGGTTGCAATCTTAGTCACCACCCAATGTGGAGTTTGCGACCCACATCAAAATTTTTATGAAATTTTTGTTCGCAACCAATTTGGTTGTGAACCAAGGCGTTCGTGAGCTGAGATACCATTGTATTGCACAAGGTTGAATATGGCTGTGGCTGAGCTGAAGGAAATAGTGTGTATTATGTGGAGAGGATGAAACTGATGAGAATATTTATAATAAGAATACATAGCAGAGGGGCAGAGGGGCAGAATCATTGATAAAAATAATATTAACAAAATAACAATAATAATATTGTTAATATTATTAGCAAATTAATCATTATTAATACCAAAATCCCATTTGTGAAAATGTAAATGGAAAAGCACAATTCCATTTGCACAAACTGTTGCTGTCATTCAAAAAGTTCTGAAATTGGTTCCATATTGGTCTGACTCACTACAGATCAAGAGGAATCCAGTGGGGAAAAAAGATAAAATCTGCTAGGACTGAACTGGAGATATTTTGCTTCAAAACAGAACTTCCATAAATCCCTAACTAAGACAAAAGCCCCCACAAGGTTCCTAACCTTATAATCCACATAGTTCCCTGGTGATGTGGAGCCTGGTCTCACAGGAATGCAACACCAATACCAATTTTGTTTTGTTTTGTCTATGCTGACACCATCCATAACATCTTTTCTCAACAAAAGAGAAACCTTGTTTCAATATGATGTATTTTAGGGTAGCTTTTTCTTGTATGGAAGAAAATGCCCTGGCTTTCGAAAAGACCTATATCCAGTGGAGATGAACACTTGCAGAATTGGTTTGTTAATGTGGATCAGTATAGCCGTTTGCATTTTTGGCATCTTCTGGGGGCATAGGTCCCCTCTACACCACTGGTTGTGTCTTGACTCTACATAAAATATCAGGCCATGCTTAAGAGAGGCAGACACTTTCTCCCTCCTCCTCTCAGTGGCTGGCCAATGGGACATTCCTTCATTAAACCGGCCAGTCCAAAAGATATAAGAGAAGTACAATGGTGGTTTGGAGATAGGATGAGAAGTGGTGGGAGAAAAGCAGGTTGGAACCTCAGGCGGATAATCTGGATCCATCTGTGAGACAAGCAACCCTATTTTCCTGCTTGTAAGGAAGAAGTGCAGCTTCTGAGCCAACGCTGCTGTGAGCTACGGCAGCATCACCCATCAGTAATGGCCATCCTGCAATTCAGGTCATTGCACACACAGAACATGGAACAGAACTGATCCTCACCATGTTCTGCTTGTCCTGGATGTGAATGAATTGCCTCGGTCTCTGCATCAGGCAGAGCTGTTTTCTTCATTAAATCACCCTCAGTGCATCAACTGGTTTTGGTATATACAATAGCATATTAAATGTAAAATCATGGTCAATGATAAAAATCAGGATTATTATTAGTGACTACATTTATTTAAACAGTGTTATTTAGATTTAATAACATATTTTGTATGTGGAGGGTGGGAGAACTATTCACCAAATTTACACAGAAAGAAAGCTATTAAGGAATGTAACATGCCATGTCCCAAGGGATTCATGTATAAAAACATTTTGTCCAAATCAAAATTAAAGTACAAATCAAAGCTTCCCCTCCTTATAACAATAATACTAAGTTAACCTATTAATTGCACATTTTAATAGGTGGAATGTGGGGTAGAGAATCACTGCAAAGTTTCAAAGACAGAAGTAGAATAAAGAGAATTCCAAAATAGCTGGAATGCTTACAAAGTTCCCCAAGTCTCTCTCATTCTGAATTAGCACTTAACTCCTACATAGCATTCTATGATATATATTGTATATTAAACAGATGCTTGTGGAGCAGCAGAAATGCAGATCTGATCTTTGACCAGTCAATAATGACTCCTAATTCCATCCCTATATGTTATCAATAGCACCAATACACTTATTCTTTTATGACAAAGGACAAACATCTGTGTTTGTTTTCATGCTTGCAAAACAGTTCCAAAATATTTGTGCCTTCTATAGATATCTTGATCAATGGGCTGTGTGTGGCAGAGTGTGCAGTTTAGCACTTAGCTAAGAAGAAAACAACGGCATCATCAAGCAAGCTGTTATGCACAAGGAACACAAATTATTGTATTTTGGTAACAGCTAAATTCACTTTCCTGATGTGGAATCAAAGGGGTACATGTATAATATATATTGGCACAAGGGAAGTTTAGGATTGGTTGATAGAATCAACATATACAATCCAAGAATCAAGGCAGAAAAGTGTTGTATTGTGTAATATCTTAAATGCGCATCTCCCTTAGGAAACCCATATTTCACATTTAAATAAGAGATGCTAGAAGAGTCACATGTTTTCCAACCCTGTCTAAGGAGGGTTCAAATGCCACTTGAAGACCACACACTGTCAAACTGAGAGGGAATACTTTATCCTCTTGGCAACTGCAACTGTTCTTAAGGTTCAGTCCTATGCATGCTTAGACAGAAAACTTCCTAACATGGCAAGTATAGACATTTTCTGCCTAAACATGCATCGGGTTCCACCCTTCATAGTTTGCTCATCTTCCCTCCTTTCCAACCTTGCTCAATTGTGTGCATGAGAAGAGAGAGAAACATCATGGGTCCCAAGTGGCAGGCAGCACAATAAAGCAGGGTGTGATCCTAAGTCCAGGATGCACAAGGGATGTTATTGCTGCAGGACTTATTTCTGCATACACATGCATCAGACGGTGCTCTCAGTGGATGCAAGCAACGCAATCCCGGACTCTGTGCATGAAACAGTTAGGTGTGGGGCACAGATCCTGAGCAAAGTCCAATTAAAAGGCTCCTGAGCTTGCTGCCACTTGAATAGGTTATCTGTGGGTGACTTCCGAAGGCACAGCACTGCTTGCTGGTGCTTGTAACCTCATTGTGCAGTGGTGACATCCATGCAGGAAAGCAATTTCTGTACTGACCGGCCACGCAGCTGCTGTGCCCTTGTTAGCTAACTCACAGTAATGTGGAGGTCAGAAATGTACTGTAGGTAATGCTCAGTTTAACTCCTTAGCCATCCAATTGCTAACTGCCGTGTCTCCATAGAGGCCCAGCCATCATGGGGTGAGAAAAGTGGTTGCTACACAGAACTAAATTGTCCCAAATGATCTGGAAATTCTTTCAGTGTGTGTATTATAAACACCTATTTCTTTCATTTTCAGCTGTTTATGAGCAATCATGTGAAGCTTACCGGCACCAAGGGAAAACATCTGGTTTCTTCCACATTGACTCAGATGCCAGCGGTCCACTGCCACCACTTTTAGTCTACTGCAATATAACTGGTAAGAATGATGCCTACTTTTCACTGAGCATTGGGCCACATTTGTTTCCAAGAGCAAATGTACAGCCTAAGATTTCTGTATGTCCACAAAATAAGCTGGAAGGGATTGGGTCTGTTGATAATCAGGACAAAATTTACATAGCCTTGGGAAAGGTCTAATCTGCATAAAAGAAAACAAGATACTGCAATGATTAAAGTGAGAAGCAAATTTTGGGTTAGTGGAAAACCACAAGTTTCACAGGTCATCTGGGGCACATGGGTACACCAAACTTTGCATGTCCAACTGGAAGTATGATCATGGTTGAATGGGTATAAGGGATGCTTGGTGATATGATGTGATAGGACTGCTGTGTGGGAAATGTGCCTGTTAGCTATAAGCCATGTATAAAGTTTAGTTGTTAGCTCGCAGAGCCCCAAGTAATTCTGGACCAGGAAACGAAGCACACCATCTCCATCTGCATATGCACCAGTTGACCTTTAAGCAGGCAGGCTGGTGGTCACTCGGAATAAAGGGACAAAGGGCAGGTCTGTGATGAGGTGAATGAAGGGTCAAGGGAGGCAGAGCAGCCCTGGAGCCTTTGAATCCGCAGCAGTCAGAAAGAGAAAATTGTGACGGAAAACATGCCAAGTGGGTACAGAAAATGTACAGCTTCAGCAAGTCACTTTTTGAAATCCATAGTCTCCTTTTCAAGCATTCCACAAAGAAGCAAGTGTTGGGAGGGGAGAATAATAACTATGGAAAGGACCATTCAAATAGGAAGCAATATTCTCAGAGGCACATAGAAAAGCAGCCTTTGAAACTCAGAATTGAACCGAGAACCAACGTGCTGCAGAGAAAGGGAACACACAGAATTCTGTTATTCCCAGTGGAGATGCCCTCCTGTACACATGTGGACCCCAAAATCAAGCCTTTCATGGATGCATATTTGAAACATGGCAAAATCATGTAGACACACACATATACAAGCTGATGCTTAGGCCTTTCTATCAGTATATGTATTGCCCCCTTTGCCTTGAGAGCATCAGGGGTAATATTAGTAATTCTGTCAGCATTGAATCTGTAGCCATTCACTCCATGGCTTGTACAGACTTGCTAAACTGCAACTATATACTGAAGATTATTTCAGATGAACCTCCATGCCCCCAAAGGGACTATGTTTTAACCTCAGTGTCTGAACTATTAGGTTGCAATATCTAAAGTCATTCTGCTACTGTTTTTCTAGTATTTCAGATGTGTGTGCGTGTGTGCACTCAGACCCTGGGCCAAGAAATCAATAACACTTAGAAGTTGGTATGACAAGATCAATGCTTAATTTTAACTTGTCCAGGTATTTATCCATAATTGAAAGGCTTGTTGTTGTTGCCTTTGAGAGGACTGGGAGCTGGAACAATGAAAATAATGTTCTGTTCTTGCCAATGCTAGTGCCGAAAAGAAAGAAAAGGGAAAAGGAAAAGAAAGAGGGAAAGTAGAGAGAGGGGGAGCCCAACTCTAGCTGAAAACACCATAAAGAGAATAAAAACTGACTCCAGGCATAAATAAGATCTCTTACAGTCAAACCCTGAAACCTGATCTTTCCATTCAGCAGATGGTGGTGCCAATAGAAACTCTTTCTGCTTCTTTCTCAAGAGAAAAAAAAAATATCGACATGATAACAACCATGGCTAAAACACCAATGCCAGTGAATGAGATGAATGTGCCATGCAATGGCATGGACAGGTATCTCCCAGGAGAAATAATATATGGCCAGAACAAGAATATTGCTGTAATATCTTGCTTAGGTGACACCAAAGGTCACAAAAATAATATGCAAGGTTTTGAATTGTGCAGAACTGTTCATTAGATGAGATGGGGGTAGAAACAGAACAAACTGACTGATGTTGAAAATGTAGAGTCTGTGTTTAGGTTGAAATCAAAGACTACTGTAGAGATACAGCAAAAAGAGCATTTTTTTTTCTTTCCTGAAAAGTAAGCTAGGGGATTCAATCTGTATTAGATATTTACTGAGGAGAAAGGGTACGGTTAGGGTTAACAAGCAGTAGTAAGTAGTAATTTAGGATTAATAAGTAGGCCTATCTCTGTGCTTACTTTTGAGGAAAAGAGGGGTAGAGGAGTAACACACAGCAACATCTTTAAGGACACAATCCTGTGTTAGATTAGAAAGACAAAAAGTGTGGGTGTGGGAGGGGGCTACAATTCCCAGCATGCCCCAGCCAGGTGTACTAGCTGGGAATACTAGAAGTTATAGGTTTTTCCTGTTGAAATATGCACAGAATTGTACCAAATTAATGTGCAGCTTGGCTCTAAGTTCAAAACAGAATTTGAACATTCAAAACAGAATCTGAATGAAAGGTTACAGGTCTTCACTTTATGGTCTGTTAGACTGGAAGAATGTTGTCCATGGGGTAACGATGGGTCGGACACAACTTCACGACTAACAACAAGAAGAAGACTCTATGATTGCTCCTGGTAGCATTTCAGTCTCTTCCGGACCATTGAGCTGAAGAAACAAACAATGAATTCCCTCCTTTGAATAGAATCAAATTGAATCGAATCCACCCGTCTCTAGGCAAAATACATAGATCTCTTCATAGGCAGAAAACAAAGGTGGAGAGAGACTAGGTAGTTTCTGTGTTAACATAGCTGTATAGGGTTATAAACAATATGTAATGAGGAAAATATCCAAGAAAATATGATTGGGTAGCATTAGCTATTGATTAGAGGGGATGGCCCTTCTCCTCAGAGAATAGAGTCCTAAGTTAGGACGATGTAAAATCTCTTCAGTGTAGGATCCTGCTGTTGCATGAATTCAGTATTATCCAAGTCACACAAAAAGCCGAGGCAGCTGTATTGGCTTAAAAAAATCCAAATCCATTTTAGGACAAAACCTTTATTAGGCCAATGTGTCATATGGAATGAACCCAGTAAAGGTGACTGTATATCATATCTGGTCAAGCTGAAGAGTCAGTTTAGAGAAACAAGAAATCTCTGTGATTATCTGCATCTATGAAAAATGCTTCAAGTCACAGGACCATTTAGAATAAGCACCCCAGGGCTGAGTTCACTTTGCTCAAATAGCCTATTTAAAGGGATTTGCCTTCCTTCCACATCAGGATGAGTGACGTGGGATGCACAGCCTACAGGAAGGGAAAGGTTAAAAGTAATACACAGAGATACTTGCTGTTATTTAGTCTTGGCGATAGTTGGCTGGTGTTGGGAAAAATGCCGTGTGAGTCAGCAATATCCTCTGATGCAAAGTAAATTCTGTCAAATGATAAGAGAAGATGCTGTCATTCAGCATGTTCTTTCTAGGACATTTCCTTGTCCTCTGCAGCAGGCATACTCAGCAAAAGGATTTCTAACAAGGAAAAAGAAGAAGGTATCATTGGTAGTTTTGCATTGCAGTACTTTGGAACAAGTTTACGACTCTCGGAGGTGAGAAGCAGTAGTGCAGATAGGTCCTGCTTGTTTCCCTCAAAAGAAGGTGGGCTAAGCAGGATCCATTAGCATTAAGGACTCTATATAGACAGACAGCTCCCCCTTTCATGTCCTTATAGTCCAAGAGAAAAAGTGGAAAAGGTCAGTTTACATTCCAATCCCAAAGAAGGGCAATGCCAAAGAATGTTCAGGCTACCGCACCATTGCACTCATTTCACATGCTAGCAAAGTCATGCTCAAAATCCTACAAGCTAGGTTGAATTTTTTTTTTTTTTAGGTTGAAATTTTTTATTTAAATAAAAACATACTACAACGGTACAAAAAGGCCCAAAAATTGCAACATTACAAAAATAGAAAGTACCCCATCCGTTATTTACATCCTTTCAAAATGCCAAATGTACACACATTTACAAGATCCCAGGCTTTACACATCAAATGTACAAAAGGAACTTTGTATAGACTTCTCCTGATAGGTTCATGCCATGTGTCTGGGCAACATGTATGAGTGATTCACGGACATTACGTTATCGGGGCATGAGCCCCACTCAACCACGGCCATAATTTCCTCCACCGACTGGGCGGCATCCTCCCTTTTTCCTCGCGGCTCAACCAAAAAATCTTCTCTTGGACAAATTTGACTGAGCCGGCCACGTCAGCCACCTTTTGTGTCTTTATCTCTCTGTGGCGTTGGAGGGACAGCGCCAACAGAACGTACAGATTTATCAGCCTAATTGTGGACCACGGCACAGTCCAGTACGTCTTGGGAGCCGTGGTCTCTCTCCACCGCCGCTTCCTGGGCACACTCCTCCTGGGTCCCTTCAATGGAGGAGTGGGTTCTGTGCCAGACACGACCGATTCCCAGTCCTGGGAGCCCAGGTCTGGCCAGTCCAGTGCTTCAGACACCGCCTTCCACGTGGCGCGTGCCGTGGGGCAATCGCTGACAAAGTGCCTCACCGTCTCCTTTTGCACCGTCCCGCTCGCGACAGCCCCGCTCTTACACTGCAGTCTGGGGCAGGCCTGCGCCATCTCGGGAAGCCAGGGTCTGGTCCCTTGCAGGTCATACACCTGATGATACAACCTCCACCTGATGTCCCACAGCCGGAACGGAACCCTCCTGTCTTGAAAATATTCTACAAGCTAGGCTCCAGCAGTATGTGGACCGAAAACTACCAGAAGTACAGGCAGGATTTCAAAGAGGAAGAGGAACTAGAGATCAAATTGCCAACATACGCTGGATCATGGAGAAAGCTAGGGAATTCCAGAAAAACATCTACTTCTGCTTCATTGACTATGCTAAAGCCTTTGATTGTGTGGATCACAACACATTGTGGCAAGTTCTTAAAGAGATGGGAGTCCCAGACCATCTTATTTGTCTCTTGAGAAACCTATATGCAGGTCAAGAAGCAATAGTGAGAACTGGACATGGAATCACTGATTGGTTCAAAATTGAGAAAGGAGTTCGGCAAGGCTGTATACTGTCGCCCTGCCTATTTAACTTATATGCAGAGCACATCATGCGAAAGGCAGGGCTAGATGAATCACCAGTTGGAATTAAGATTGCTGGG